AGCATGTAATTTATTCACATTAAATTCCATTTGCCAAGTGGTGCTCCCATATACTTATTTGGTCCAGGTCTTCTTGAAGGGCATGGCAATGATCAAAGTTTCTTGTCTTTTCTATTATCTTAGCATCAACAGCAAACATGTTCATATAATTCTGTAGTCCAACTGGTCGATCGTTTATGTAGACAATGAACATCACCGGTGCAAGAACTGAACCCTGTGTGTGTGTGTGTGTGTGTGTGTGTGTGTGTGTGTGTGTGTGTGTGTGTGTGTGTGTGTGTGTGTGTGTGTGTGTGTGTGTACTCACCTATTTGTGCTTGCGGGGGGGTTGAGCTTTGGCTCTTTGGTCCCGCCTCTTAACTGTCAATCAACTGGTGTACAGGTAGTGTGTGTGTGAAGTGTGTTAGATATATATATATATATATATATATATATATATATATATATATATATATATATATATATATATATATATATATATGTAATAGATATAATAGAAGGAAAAATAGATGTGAGTTAGAAAGGCAGGGTCCAAGAGCTAATAGCTCGATTCTGCAGAGCCAAATAGTAAACAAAGACTGTAGGAGAGGTGGTGGCATGTGTTAGCGAGGGTGGAGGCGGTTGGGCACCCCAGCCATTGGAGTACACTAGTGCGCCGCTCCCCCCCCCCCCACCAATATTGGCGGCGCTTTAATTTGGCTAACTTTCCCGGCTCTTTGCTTTACTCGAAGATGAAATGCTATTGATTCGTCCTAAGGAGAGAGAGAGAGAGAGCGTTATGCAGGAAGGATGTAATATATATATTCCACTGAGAAAGTGTATGCTAGCACGAAATGTTTGAATTCAAGGATTTGGTGAAATTGTAGTAACTCATATTTTTCTGATGCTTCAACTCTTTTTGTTGTTGAGGGCTTCTTATGCCCCCTCTGGCATGGGTATGGGGCGCATAATAAAGAACGAAGTTGAATTGTTGAATGCGTTAAAGTATACCATATTCGTTTAAACACGGATAACTGATAAAAAGATATTATATCCCCTTAACAAATAACGTGAAATATTGAATGCTACCCCAAACTGCACTTCTCAATAAGGTGTATTGGGTTGAAAATACGTTTGAAAGAGTGGCTCAATTTGGGCCTCTTTATCCAAAAATAAAAGTACCTCCAAAGGTATCAGTCCTGGGGACCGTTCAGGCTTGTTAGCATATATATATATATATATATATATATATATATATATATATATATATATATATATATATATATATATATATATATATATATATATATAATATATCAAACAGAGAAATAGCAGTGTATAGCATAAATGTTCTTGCGTGTATCCTTCACAAAAATTAAATGTAGTGATGGTTTCCCATTTTCTAAAAAATTAAATAAAATATCCATTGTACTTAAGGCCAGCATTTGATTGTATATTTATTAGCAATGTATTATACGAAGAAGACAGTGCAGTGTGTATAGACAGTGTATGTGTGCAGTGTATATAGTTTACTAATATAAACAAGGATCTATGTACAATGTATACTTACTGTATAGTTAATTAAGCATTGGAAATCAAATAATGTTTAAGAATAATAATTTAACATCTGTTTACATGTTATATTTTGTTTAGTAAGAATATGTGTAAGAGATTAAGCCTTTATTTGATCATTACTGAGATTACTGTCAAAACTAAGAAGATTGTGCTATGTGTATAGGTAAAGGGCACTAAATCTCTCAATTTCGACAGGAGTGAAGAAACGTGGGGGAGGGGATATGATCACAACATACAAGATACTGAGGGGAATAGACAATTTGGATAAGGAAAGCCTTTTTAAATTGAGTGAAAAATGGTTAAAATGATACAGGTCAAAGATGGAAAATGCAGAAGAGTTAAAGAATTGTAAGAACATTATCATGTGTGTATAAGGGTTAACAAGTGAAATGCACCAAAGGAAGTTTTAGAAGCCATCTCCATCAACAACTTCGAGGCCAAATTCGACAAAAATTTCAATGTCAGGAAAGTTAAATTATAACGCATCAGGTACAAAAAAAAGGCCAATAGATGGAGCATAAAGAGTTAGATCTCAATTCCACGTAGTCACGGCCTGGTAAGCACTCGCTACCACTCCACTACGACTCCCCATACCACCATCACTTCCACTACTCACACCACCAGCATCACCTGCTAGATATCCATCTTGAGGTTATCTTGAGATGTTTTCGGGGCTTTTTAGTGTCCCCGCGGCCCGGTCCTCGACCAGGCTTCCACCCCCAGGAAGCAGCCCGTGACTGCTGACTAATACCCAGTTACCTATTTTACTGCTAGGTAACAGGGGCATAGGGTGAAAGAAACTCTGCCTATTGTTTCTCGCCAGCACCCGGGATCGAACCCGGGACCACAGGATCACAAGTCCAGTGTACTGTCCGCTCGGCCGACTGGCTCCATTGCTCTCATTTTTTTACGATTACACACACACAAAGCCAAATTTGTTTAGCTGTAAGTCAGGAAGCAGAGCTTGTGGCTTTATTGCAAGAGACTTTGAATACATCTAACATCACCACCATTGCAAACTCATGTTAATACCATCACTATTGCCAGTATAACCACTATTATCATCATCAATACTCCCACCATCACTATTACTTCTATCACTATTACTTCTACAACTACCACCATTATCACCATTACAGTACTTCCATCACCATCATTACTGTAACTGGCAGCAAAGTCCTGTACCCTGTAATTGACACTCTCAGAAATTACAGCACTATTGGCACTCTGCGATATGCCTGTCAGGGGGATCTCTCTCTCTCTTGATCAGCTATGATCAAAACATATCCGGTTGTAAATATTACGTATGGAAGGGAAAATGGCCTGTAGTTTAGAGTGCTTGACTAAATAAAGAGTGTTCACACATTACAGTAATAACAGACATGAGCATGTTTTAGTTTATAACATGGCTAGATCAAGGATGAACACTTCCAGAAATAAAATTTAAAAAACATTTAGGTCAATCAGACCTTTATCAATTACGGAAATTTTATGTTACCTGGTTGATACCTGGTTGATGGGGTTCTGGGAGTTCTTCTACTCCCCAAGCCCGGCCCGAGGCCAGGCTCGACTTGTGAGAGTTTGGTCCACCAGGCTGTTGCTTGGAGCGGCCCGCAGGCCCACATACCCACCGCAGTCCGGTTGGTCCGGCACTCCTTGGAGGAATAAATCTAGTTTCCTCTTGAAAATGTCCACGGTTGTTCCGGCAATATTTCTTATGCTTGCTGGGAGGACGTTGAACAACCGCGGACCTCTGATGTTTATACAGTGTTCTCTGATTGTGCCTATGGCACCTCTGCTCTTCATTGGTTCTATTCTACATTTTCTTCCATGTCATTCACTCCAGTACGTTGTTATTTTACTGTGTAGATTTGGTACTTGGCCCTCCAGTATCTTCCAGGTGTATATTATTTGATATCTCTCTTGTCTTCTTTCTAGTGAGTACATTTGGAGGGCTTTGAGACGATCCCAATAATTTAGGTGCTTTATTGCGTCTATGCGTGCCGTATATGTTCTCTGTATTCCCTCTATTTCAGCAATCTCTCCTGCTCTGAAGGGGGAAGTGAGTACAGTACTGAGCAGTACTCAAGACGGGACAACACAAGTGACTTGAAGAGTACAACCATTGTGATGGGATCCCTGGATTTGAAAGTTCTCGTAATCCATCCTATCATTTTTCTGGCTGTCGCAATATTTGCTTGGTTATGCTCCTTAAACGTTAGGTCGTCAGACATTATTATTCCCAAATCCATTACATGCTGTTTTCCTACTATGGGTACATTTGATTGTGTTTTGTACTCTGTATTATGTTTAAGGTCCTCATTTTTACCGTACCTGAGTACCTGGAATTTATCACTGTTAAACATCATGTTATTTTCTGATGCCCAGTCGAAAACTTTATTAATATCAGCTTGAAGTTTTTCAATGTCCTCAGCCGAGGTAATTTTCATACTGATTTTTGTGTCATCTGCAAAGGATGATACGAAGCTGTGACTTGTATTTTTGTCTATATCTGATATGAGAATAAGGAAAAGCAGCGGTGCAAGGACTGTACCCTGAGGTACAGAGCTTTTCACTGCACTTGTACTAGATTTTATATGGTTGACAGTTACTCGCTGAGTCCTGTTTGACAGAAAACTGAGTATCCAGCGTCCTACTTTACCGGTTATTCCCATTGACTTCATTTTGTGTGCTATCACGCCATGGTCACATTTATCGAAAGCCTTTGCGAAGTCCGTGTATATCACATCAGCATTCTGTTTCTCTTCTAATGCCTCAGTGACATTGTCGTAGTGCTCAAGTAGCTGTGAGAGGCACGATTTTCCCGCTCGAAATCCATGTTGGCCTGGGTTGTGAAGGTCATTGGTCTCCATGAAATTGGTGACCTGACTCCTAATCACTCTCTCAAATACTTTTATGATGTGCGATGTTAGTGCAACTGGTCTATAATTTTTTGCCAATGCTTTGCTCCCTCCCTTGTGTAGAGGGGCTATGTCTGCTACTTTAAGTGCATCTGGTATCTCCCCCGTGTCCAAGCTCTTCCTCCACACTATACTGAGTGCCTGTGCTACCGGCACTTTGCATTTCTTTATAAATATTGAATTCCATGAGTCTGGACCTGGGGCCGAGTGTAATTCAACATTGAGATGTTGTCTCAATTTTTTGACTGAAGGTGGAAATCAAGGAATTTTGTTTTAATGTACAGGTTGGCAGTCTCAATTTTTTGACTGAAGGGGGAAATCAAGGAATTTGTTTTAATGTACAGGTTGGCAGTCTCAATTTTTTTGACTGAAGGTGGAAATCAATGAATTTTGTTTTAATGTGCAGGTTGGCAGTCTCAATTTTTTGACTGAAGGGGGGAATCAAGGAATTTTGTTTTAATGTGCAGGTTGGCAGTCTCAATTTTTTTGACTGAAGGTGGAATCAATGAATTTTGTTTTAATGTGCAGGTTGGCAGTGAGGACCGTGACTCTGGCACCGAGTCTGATGACGAGCAGCCTTACGACGACCCCGAGCCCGAGCCTGGTATGTCCTGCTCCATGTCAACCCTCAACACTGTGATTCCCGCAACCATGATCCTGCACCAAGAACCCCACTGCAGCATTCCTGGTTATGAGCACAACATCTTCCTTCCCTAGTGAGGTGATCGGTGATTCTGAACCTTTGTTGGATGGTGCATAAGGCTCATTATCTGAGAATAAGCCTGGATAATGAACACTGTTGCAGCCATTACTCAGGAGCATAATACCTGATTATTTCACTTTGCTCTTTGGATTGGCTGATCATTTGTATATTGTAAGGTGATGCATGTTTTTTAGTTGCTTGATTAGTAAGTCGACTGATTTACTTTGTGCCTGAAACCCAATATATTTAACTTACATATATAAATATCTGAATGTTATTATGTGTACACATTTTCAAAGTAGGTATACAGCTTTTAGTGTACTAAATTAACTTCAATATTGAGTTTACTTTGTTGTGAAAATGCTATGATTACACTACTTGCATAACATGAATCGTATGTACAGTATTCAAAAGTTTAATTCGAATCAAGGAACAGTGTATTCAGTGTAATAGTTCTCATGTGCGCGTGAGCATAGAAATCATGAGTGAATAATGAATATAAAGTACCGGTACATATTGTATAATGTATATAATGACCACTGATCATGTGGGCTAGGTGTTGGATAAATATTGTACATCAATAGATGCTAATTAGGATGGATATCTGAAATAAACTGCAAACATAAAATGCAATAAATGCAGTTCTTTACGTACCAGTACACTACATCTGAAGTGGTTGACTAGAGAATGTTGAATAGTGAAGGTGCATTACAAAATTTGTTAATTACTAGTATACAAATTCTTTAGCAATTTTGAAATCATCTTGAATAAAATTGAAGGTAGAGATTGACAAATAATCAGTTTAAGTTATGAAACTAAGGCATATGAATTATAATAATTCTACTAAGTTCTGTAAAGATTACGATGTTACTACCTTGCGATGGTTCCGGGGATCAATGTCCTTGTGGCCCAGGTATATTTGCTGCCTGTACAGTGTTATAAATAATACATAACATTACAATTCATATTAAATGAAAATTGATTGAGTGAAAACAAAGTTGAATCGGAAGTGGGGCTGCTGAACAAAGAATAATAACCGTACAGTAATGTGTTATTTATAAGTATTACAAAGGATCTGATTACACTGATTTCATAATAAGTATTTCTATGTTTTATAAAGTCACTAATCACAGGCAGCATTTTAGGCATACTTGATATTAATGTGCATTTTTGTCATTTAATTTTTGGGGTTGCCGAGTACACCTAATACTGTACTCAAGTACTGTGCTGTAGAACAGAAGGGATTGCTTAGTCGTGCAGTTTCCAAAATACCGAGGGATTAGACTCTAAAATTTCATCATTATAAACAAAACCGAGGAATGAATGTGAGAATAAGTGTAAAGGGATATCGGTTGCTTAAAATAAACTACAATTCAGGGATCATGTGCATTGAGTAAATAAAATATTATTTTTGTACAGCATAACATTATAAAAGTTGCATGGAAGTCCATCGCTAAATGTATTAGTTGTTAAGTTGTTTAAGCTTCCCAATCACTCGCTTCTGCTGTGCATGTTTCTCAGCTTTTTGCTGTTGTATAGCCCCATTTAATGTATTTTATTCCCTTTTTCCCATCTGCTATTCTTATCAAACAGCATCATACATCGCTGTTTTTCTTACGTATGGTAACATACATAAAAACAATTGAATTAGTTTGTATTTGCTTATACTGTATGCTCAATATACTGTATTAGTTACTAAATACAGTATGCTCTTAGGCTTCAGTGTATTTATTCTGCTTCTGCTTCCTCCTTGCATGCAATTTTTCTGGTGACATTTGTCCAATCAGCTTAACCCATCCATGGTATAATTATCTTGTCCTTTGTGGACTTATCCAATCCACAGTGTAATTATCTCATCCTTTGTTCAATTATCCGAGTCAGTGTAAATAAGTGCTGGTATCTCGTCCTTTGTGATATTATTCCAGCTGTTGTGTAAGTATTCCATTCATTGTTTAAATCTCTCACCCTTTTGTGATATTATCCTTAATTATCTCATCCTTCATGCAAGCGATGAGTCACAATAACGTGGCTAAAGTATGTTGACCAGACCACACACTAGAAGGTGAAGGGACGACGACGTTTCGGTCCGTCCTGGACCATTCTCTCACAATCGACTTGAGAATGGTCCAGGACAGACCGAAATGTCGTCGTCCCTTCACCTTCTAGTGTGTGGTCTGGTCAACATACCTCATCCTTCATAATAATCACACCATGGGTGGGATAATATCTCATCCTTTTTTAAATTATCCCATCCATGGTGTCATTAAATTTGAATAGTCACTTCATACTTGCAAATTATACTTCAACCTTTTGTATTCTTGTTAGTACCTGTACAGTATTATGTTTAGTTTACGCGGAGGTAAATCTTTTGGCTGCGTCAAAAGATTTTTCAGCCTTTTCCCTAGGCTGAAAGTGGTCAGAATGCAGCCAGATGTTTGAAATTTTGATATTCACTATCCTAGTAAGAATAGAATCTTTCTTGCTGTGCCATTAAAATAAATACAAATATAAATGTTCCCAGTAAAAAAATATTTTAGATTTCTTTTTGTTTTAGATACTCTTTTCTGATAGAACATATGGCCCAAGTGACTTAAAAGTATGGTGTACTGTATTTTATTTTCTTTAGTTTTCTCCATTTTATTATGCTTCTATAATGAAAAAGTGTAAGCTCTTTTCCTATACTGTATACAGTACCTCATAAATATTAATTTAAAAAGATTTTTAGATACTGTAGTATGTATAAAAAAGATAGTTTTGAATCATTATATACAAAAAAGGTTCAGGTAACTTTGTGCTGCAGTAGGCTACATGTGTTCCAAATGGATAAAATTGCTTCATGATTACAACAAATACGAATATTTACCATGCAGTGTTATGCATTTTGGTCACATAAATTTCACCCAAAATGAATTTTGACCTTTTTTTCTGCACTGATTTGTTTTGTTTTACCAATGATTGTGTTGTTTAATCTTGTTTTTACACTAATTAGAAATTAGAATACACCTTTGTAACACCTGTGTTTGTCACAGTATCTTATTCTGGTAGTAGGCATCCATCAGTCTTAGGAGACTATGGAGTTGCGCTCTAGTTGTCGATCTGGAGTGGCCTCACCAGGGCGCATAAAGACCGTAAACTTTGCATTCTACATCAGATAAATGTAACTACAGTAGAAAGAAATCACAAATGAGACAGTAATGACACTATATTGAATGCAAAGGAGACTGGGTGCAATTTAATCTCTAAACTGTGCACCTATGTAAGCAGGAAGCATTGAGGTGCACATGAGTAGAGATAGTTAACAAATGTAATAGTACAAAAATACAGCTTATGGTAATTTAAGCACAGGAGGAAATTGCAGAAAGTGGTTGAAGCAGTCCGTGCATAGGGTTGAAGGGAGGTGTTGCTCACGTGGCCCCACAAAGTGAGGCGATTTGATGAAATATCTATGCCCGAGTTGACCACCGAGCGCTGTCGGATCTTGGATAAATAGTCTCACGCCTACCAAGATTTTTGTACAGTCATGTGGTCTAGTAGTTTAGGTACCAGGTATGCCAAGGTGCATAGTGCTCCTGGCTGTCTGGGTTCAAATCCTTCTGGGGTGTGGAGTTTTCAGTTTTATATATATATATATATATATATATATATATATAAGCCTATACTTGCATAAACCACAAGTGAAGATAAACAATCTTTGGACAACACCCACCAGTGGGACTCGAACCCAGAAAGCACAACTACCTTCCAGTAGCTGGCATAACTAGTATGCTTTAACCCACTACGCCATCAGACCTTACAAAAAGAAGTAGATAGTTCGAGATATATATATCTCAAACATCTCTACCTCCCGAAGGCACCAGATGAGTGAGGGGTCAGTCTGCAATTTTCGTCAAGCCACTGTCAATGTGAGAGAACTCGTGTCCAGCTTATAAGCCTATACTTGCATAAACCACAAGTGAAGATAAACAATCTTTGGACAACACCCACCAGTGGGACTCGAACCCAGAAAGCACAACTACCTTCCAGTAGCTGGCATAACTAGTATGCTTTAACCCACTACGCCATCAGACCTTACAAAAAGAAGTAGATAGTTCGAGATATATATATCTCAAACATCTCTACCTCCCGAAGGCACCAGATGAGTGAGGGGTCAGTCTGCAATTTTCGTCAAGCCACTGTCAATGTGAGAGAACTCGTGTCCAGCTTATAAGCCTATACTTGCATAAACCACAAGTGAAGATAAACAATCTTTGGACAACACCCACCAGTGGGACTCGAACCCAGAAAGCACAACTACCTTCCAGTAGCTGGCATAACTAGTATGCTTTAACCCACTACGCCATCAGACCTTACAAAAAGAAGTAGATAGTTCGAGATATATATATCTCAAACATCTCTACCTCCCGAAGGCACCAGATGAGTGAGGGGTCAGTCTGCAATTTTCGTCAAGCCACTGTCAATGTGAGAGAACTCGTGTCCAGCTTATAAGCCTATACTTGCATAAACCACAAGTGAAGATAAACAATCTTTGGACAACACCCACCAGTGGGACTCGAACCCAGAAAGCACAACTACCTTCCAGTAGCTGGCATAACTAGTATGCTTTAACCCACTACGCCATCAGACCTTACAAAAAGAAGTAGATAGTTCGAGATATATATATCTCAAACATCTCTACCTCCCGAAGGCACCAGATGAGTGAGGGGTCAGTCTGCAATTTTCGTCAAGCCACTGTCAATGTGAGAGAACTCGTGTCCAGCTTATAAGCCTATACTTGCATAAACCACAAGTGAAGATAAACAATCTTTGGACAACACCCACCAGTGGGACTCGAACCCAGAAAGCACAACTACCTTCCAGTAGCTGGCATAACTAGTATGCTTTAACCCACTACGCCATCAGAC